AGACGCTGTGCGCTCTCACAGACATTCACAGACTCTCACAGACGCTGTGCGCTCTCACAGACATTCACAGACTCTCACAGACGCTGTGCGCTCTCGCAGACGCTGTGCGCTCTCGCAGACGCTGTGCGCTCTCGCAGACATTCACAGACTCTCACAGACGCTGTGCACTGACGCTCACCACCCATCCCACAGGTGAAGTCTGGCACCATCTTTGACAACTTCCTGATTACTGATGATGAAAAGACGGCGGAGGAATTTGCAAACGAGACCTGGGGCGTTACCAGGGTAGGTGATGGCGTGTCTTAAGTTCATCCGGGTCGTGCGTGTTTGAGCTGATGAACCTTCACAGATGGTGTGTATTTTAGGAGCTCTGTCTCTTTGCCTGTGCCAGTTTGCATGGGAGGTCATGTACAATTTCCGGACATTTTTATATTTTATGTCAGGTCAAGAGTTTTGTCACACATGCGCAGGTTATTCAGTGAAATGCAGCCCCATGAGTAGGCTAAACTGTGCAATTAAAATGTACAAGGTATAAATTAAAAATTCAAAAGGAAAATAAACATGCATATATATGTCTCTTGTATATACATACAGATTCTTGGTACAAAAATTATGAAATTTATACAATATGTATTGTAAAGGTATATGCCATGGTATACGGCATAAACAGCATACAGGAACTTTGGGATGTACTGTATACTAGGTACATACAAGTAAATTACTGAATGTAAATGATGAGCGGTCAAGTAAATTATAGACATATGATGGACTTAAAGGAGTAGGATGCTATGACCAAAAAAGATAAATCAACTCTGGGCTGGTGTTAATTTGAGCTTTCCAATATTGTACATCTCTCACTGCAATATCTGATCTCCATTCCCCATTAATTTGAGGCTCGTGTTTCAGTGGGGTTGGCTGCAGGGCGTCATTCATTCCTCTCATGCACTGCTGTGACATTTTCTTCCCTGTAAATCAGGACCCAGAAAAGACGATGAAGGAAAAACAAGAGGAAGACGAGAGGAAACAGAGGGAAGAGGAGAAAAATACAAAGGAGGAAGAGGAGGATAACGAGGATGAAGACGGCGATGAGGACGAAGGGGATGAGGAAGACAATGATGAGGAAGGGGGCACAGCAGAAGGCGACGATGATGTACCCAAAGATGAGCTGTAAAGCGGAGCTCATTTGGCCGGATGTGTGTCCTGTCAGGGAAGCGAAGGCTCCGCATTCACATTTACACCCTCAGCCGTTCTGCTCGGACTCACACTCCGTGTTTTTGTGGCAGGATGAGACTGAGCATCTGATCCTTCTATTTTGGGGGGGGGGGGGGGGGAGGTAAATGGGCTCAAGAAATGTTTTTGTGTTTTTTTTTTTAATAACCAATTAAACAAGGCCAGTGCACAGGCGTGTCTTGAATTCAGCAAAAGAGCTGTTCACCCTTCACCCGAACAATTGCCCTGGGCTGGGGGTGACTGACCCAGCCTCTCTGAACGCCTGACCAGCCTGTGCTCAGTCAGCGCCTGCAGGTGGACAGACCAGTACTGCCGTTTGCACTTTGTTCTCATGTGTGTAGATCTCATGAATAATCTGTCTCTGGTTTCCTGAAGTCATTCTCCCTTTGCTAAACGGCAGGGGATCGGGCACATGTGTGTACATCTCGTGTTTTTCTTAGGGCTAAAATCCAGACTTGATTTGAAAAGTACTGCTTACACTTCCAGCTGAACCTCCTTTCCTCTGGTTATGTAAATACTGTTTCCTAGGGAGTAACACATTAGTATGAGATGTTTATTACTTTAAATGATTCTTATAGGGGACAAAATTTAATGAAATCCAAGTGTAGTCCGAGTTTAAGGCAGTAGAAGCCAGATGCAACCACCTTACCTGAAACGCTCTTCTTCTCGATAATGTGATGACACTTAGTGTTACTATGGGAATTAGGATTTCTGGGTTGTTTGCGGAGAGCTGATGACAAGCTTTAGAACACGACAAATTTAGGGCTGACGCTGTACGTAAGAATTGCATCCGTAAAACTGTTATTTTGGTGCATTCAGAGATTATATCCCTTGAATATTTAAATAAATATTCAGTCCCAGTTTGCTTTTGCGTGGGTGGTTCTTTCTTAGGTTGATAACTGTGAATGTAATAAAAAAAATTCATTAACCATGAAAATATTTTGCTTAGCTTAAGTTTTTTTTTTCTGCAATCACATTCCGATTCATTTTAAAATGAAATAAAATATATGTATAGCAAAACGGCATCCGTAATTAACAACCATGAAAAAAATTTATACAGGTAAACGAGGGGGAAACTTATTCAAGCAAGCATCCCAGTGACTATATTTTGCATTAATGCTTAATAACGTGACAAACGATGAGATTTTCCTGCGTCCTACAGCGCAGGCAATTGGGCGGACGCGACCCTCGGCGCTGGTGGAGCTGACGCCGGAGCAGAGCGAACCGCCTCCCAGTGATTCACTCCCAGCTGCTCATGTTTTGTCCCGGGCAGCAAGTAGATGGCGTCTGACTACGGCGCGGCCGCCCGTCTCCTCGCTAGATAGCTGAGTCACACAGCCGGGCGCTGTAGTAAACGGCGAGCGCTTTTCCCCCCTAATCGCCCGTGAATCCGTGCGCAAAATCGGTACCGATCGAGAGCCAGGACTTGGCGGGGAAGATGCTGACGATCACGCTGAAGACGCTGCAGCAGCAGACCTTTAAGATAGAGATAGACGAGGAGCAGACGGTGAGCGCTGCGGAGCGGGCGTCCGGTGTCAACACGCCGCAGCTCGGGAGGAGACGCCAGGAAAAGCCGGGGCCTTCCGTGCGGACGGCTCGCTGGGGGCATCGGGGGTGGTGCTATTTTAAATGATGTATTTTCTAATGGATCGCAGAAACATTTTGCTGTGGACGTGCATGCGCGACGTGCCCGCGCGGAGTAGGGATTTCCCCGTGTATTCGCACAGGAATGACAGTGCAATAATTTATTAGCCTGTTCCCCCTTATTTATTATTATTTTTTTGGAAGTGCCTTCGCCCCTTTCGATTGTCGCGTGTCTCGCAGCTTAAATGGAAAAGTCTAGCAAGTTCCTTTTATGAATACTTTTAGGACGTGAGCATGATCGATAGAAATGTGGTTGACACTGTGCTTTTTTATTAACGGTTCATGGTGGACAACCTTTGGATTTTATAGCAGGCGGGGTTAATGTTGCTGTTGTGGTTTGAAATATTAGTAGCAGCTGTCTTACTGTTAATAACGACGCCGATAATTAACCCAGTGAAATGTCTCCGATTCAGCCAGTTTAGGCCACTGATGTGTCTTTGGAAGTTAAGCTGTGGCGAATGGAAGCAGTGAAGACGGGGGGCAGGTTTTTGCCGTGCAGTTTTGTGTAAAACGTCCTGAAAGATTAAGTGCATTATACACGTGAATGCGACGGCTCGATATCTAACGGAGGGTTAAACGGTTTGTCAGGGTGAACAGGGAAACTGACATTGCACAAAAACTAAGAACTAGTTAAGTCTCTGATGTTAAATACATGTATTCCTTGTTGCTGATATAAATATTCCCGAAACTTAAAAAAATATATACTTATTATTTAAAAATAATATTTTAAAATAGTCTTTTTGGAAATCACTTATGCTTGATCAGACTGATTTCAAAATTCAAAGTACATTTAGAGTAATTGTGTCTCTACGTTGCTGTTAGAGTATGACTGTGTGTTTGTGTGACCTGGGGTCCCATGTAGGCTGTCCCCCCCCCAGCCTTGTGGCCTATGCTGCCTGGGACAGGCAACAGGCCCCCCACAACACTGACAAGGATAAGTGGTTACAATGGATGTAATTGATGGGTGTTAACTCCTGTCATTGTATTTCAGAGTTTAATTACCTTTATTTTGGTGTTGGCTGTCTTTTATGGTATTATCCAATACTAACTGATGTTAAGTGTAAATAATAATGTCAGTGTTTCTGTTCCAGTTGTTGTTCTAGAAATGAGTTTGCATCACTTTGGAATTCTTCCTCAAATTAATAACCAAATAGCCGACAGGATAATACTGGACTGCAAGTGAAAAGTAGACGAAAAAAACTATCGGCAGTTAGAGGAGGGTGTTTGTTAACATGGTAAATCACTCTGATTTGTACCAATGGTATCTTGCCTCATCTTAGTGCTTCAGGTGCATCAGAGTTACACAATTAAAGTAAAAAATGTCTGCGCCTTGTTTCCAGACTTGACCCCTGAGTTCCCATTTGCTGTCTGCGTTCGATGCAGGTCAGAGTTCTGAAGGAGAGAATCGAGACGGAGAAGGGGAAGGAGGCGTACCCTATGGTCGGACAGAAGCTCATCTATGCAGGTGACGGACACAGACATCTCCCTCTGCATCACGTCGGCATTTTTTATCTTTGTTTCCAAATGTAAAAAACTGTCGTGTCATGTTATCAAATGTTTTTGCGTGTTTATTTGTGCTGTTTCAGGTAAAATCTTAAACGACGACATACCCTTAAAAGAATACAAAATAGATGAGAAGAGTTTTGTTGTTGTCATGGTAACCAAGGTAAGCCCTGACAGACTATTTATCAACAGAAACATTGATATTATGTGGCTCAGTTATCTAATAAGCATCAGCCATTCAGTTTGCCTTTAAGTCAGCTTCACTCTGTATCATTTTTATATTTATACTTTGTTTGAATTTATAGAGACGTGTAGTTTGAGTATCTCTCCTGGCATTTCAGTCTGAAATCTTCATCTCTAAAAGTGCTTTATTCCGCTTCCCTTTGAGCCGCCATTCGCTAACTGTGCACATCCAGTGTGTCTCATTATCGGTTACAGTGAGTGTTTTGGTCCTGGAAGTTATTTTGTTCAGTAATAGTTATTTCTTTTCGTCTTTGCCAGCCCAAACCTACCTCACCGGCTCCGCCCCCGACCCAGCCTGCCCCCGCCTCGGCCGCTGCCAGTGCACCCTTGCCCCCGGCCCCCGTCTCCGCCCCCGCTCCGGCACCCCCTCCGGCTCCTGCCCCTTCCGCAGCACCGCTGCCCGTCCCAGCTCCTGCACCCCCAGAGGAACACTGCGCTCCTAAAACTGGGCCGGCCGTCTCCGCCGAGTCCTCAGAAGCCGCAGAGAAAAAGGCGGACGCTGAGGCAGTGGCCGAGCCGCCCGGTGCCGTAGCCGAGGCGGAGGCCGAGCCCCAGGCCGAGGCGGAGGCCGAGCCCCAGCGCGAGCCCCAGCGCGAGCCCCAGGACGAGCCCCAGGAGCAGTCCCAGGAGCAGCCGCAGGCCGCCACGCCTAGCCTCGGCCCCTCCAGGTGCGTGGCGCCATCTGCCGCGAATCCGGCCTCATCGCCACAGCCTGTCAGTGTGGATGCAGGGCAGCCGTGCCACACGCTCTTTGATCTGTTTGTTTGTTTGTCTAATTCACCCTTGTCTCTTCCCTGTAGCATTGCGGATGACCTGAGTCTTTTAGAAGAGGCGGCGTCAATACTGGGTATCACATTCTATCCGTCTGTCTTAACCGTCTTATCCAACCTGTCTGTTGTATGACTCCGTCTGTCTGTCCTATCTGTCTGTCTGTGGTATGACTCCGTCTGTCTGTCTGTCCTGTCTGTTTGTCTGTCTATTGCCTATAGTGTCTGTGTGTATTATATTTTGCTGTAACTCTGCGGATTTGAACATGCTCACACTCTTCCGTTTCCCACGGATCAGTTACAGGGCAGGCGTACGAGAACCTGGTAACAGAGATTATGTCGATGGGCTATGAAAGGGAGCAGGTCATCGCAGCACTTCGGGCGAGTTACAACAACCCGGACAGAGCGGTGGAATATCTGCTTACGGTAAGTCCATCACAACAGCGGGGAGCAGTGAACTTTCAGGCAGGGTTTGGTGCAGTGGTGCTGTCACTGCTACTGCTTTGTTTCACTGGTGTTTTTTTGTTGTGCTACTTATTTTGCACTGTGATCACTGGAAAACAGTATAAGCTGGGTGACTTCAGTACCTGGTAGCCATACTTTGCGGTGTGGCACCTGCATCATGCAGCTTCGTGAAGCTCTAGGCTTCCACTCTGTCATGGCACCTGCATCATGCAGCTTCGTGAAGCTCTAGGCTTCCACTCTGTCATGGCCTCTGCATCATGCAGCTTCGTGAAGCTCTAGGCTTCCACTCTGTCATGGCCTCTGCATCATGCAGCTTCGTGAAGCTCTAGGCTTCCACTCTGTCATGGCCTCTGCATCATGCAGCTTCGTGAAGCTCTAGGCTT